TAGGGCACACAGGTAAGACATAATGCCATGCATTCCCTATCATATTCTCCCTGCAGCAAGGTATGGGCAGAATATTCATTTAATTTTCATAATCTGTAAAATGAAGGGGAAAAAAGCCTGCTGTGTCTGTTTTTGCATTATATTGAAGTGATAAGTAAAATTGAGTGACAGCTATGACTCACTATGTGCAAATTATGATTCCACCTTTTCCTTCAGGCACCTTTCTGTCCACACAGTATTTTTGTGCTTCTGAATCGAGGGTGATCCTTGGTTGATTCTAAAGCTGGGTTTGCAGGCAGCCTAACGTGATTAAAGGAAGAAGGCAAGGAGACTGCCTGTCCGAAATACTGTGTGACGCCTAAGGAAACGGCAGCCGCAGAGCAGGGACGGAGCCGCAGGAGAGGTGGCGGGGAACTTCACCCAGATGAAACCACGGCGCCACCACGCATCTTCTTACCCACTGTCCCTGGTTTGTGTAGGACATTTTCAGATGCACATGCTGCCGTCTAATCCTCTGCAGCTGCACAAGGGCTATCACGTGCGTTCTCCTGTTCTGCAGGCTGTGGTCCCTGAACGCTCTCTTGACGCCTCCAGAGCGCCCTCCAGCCGTCGGTGCGCCCCCAGGCCCCGAGGCCCCAGGAGCCTGCGAGGGTGAGCGGACGCGCGGTCCCCACCGCCGGCAGCGAGGCCAGCCCACCCGCGCAGCTGTGCCTCCTGCGGGTAAGCGCCGCCCTTTCGGCGCAGCCCTGCGCGGTCCGTTTCAGAAGCCACACCCAGGGGCAGACACCGAGGGCCCCGGCGCGGCCGAGCGTGCAACCTCGGGAGCCTTGCCGAGCTCGCCCGTGCCCCGGTGCCCAGCGCGCCCTGGCCCCTGGCGGCGTCGGGTGCCCACTGGGCTCGCGCGTCCTCCACCCCGCGTCCTGTTCCTGCGCGACCTGCCTTTCTTTCCCTAAAACTCTATTTGCACGAATTACTTCTTCCTTTCATTAGGTAACAGGATTTATTTTCTTTTCTCTCTGTGTCAACCATGCACACACTCGGTGCCGAAGAACCAGTCAACTTGTGTGTTCTTAATTATTTTTATTTCTGATGAGGCAGATTCAAAAGAGCAAAGTCAGAGAAAATAACCACACGGCTCGCGGTGGGCTTTCTGCCTTTGTTTGGATTCGACTTCTCCTTCGCGGGTCGTTCTTAATTCTCCTCTGCAGCGCGGGGCGATTAAATCAGCATCTCAGGGCCACAGAGGCCAGGCGGCCCGGGGCTCGGAGGCGTCCCTGTCCTGGTATTTCCTGGCATTAAATGGGCAACTTCCCCTCCTACGAGGGGTGCTTGCAGCTGGGAAAGAGAGGCGCAGGAAGACCTCCCAGCAAAATCCGTCACTGCCTGGCCGGCCCGGCTGCCCCTGAGGGGCGGCCCAGGTGTGCCCAGGCCACAGCTTTGCCCTGAGAGGAGGAACACGGTGAGAGGCAGGTCCCAGGGGTCCCAAAGGAGCTGCGGAGGGGCAGATGCCCTCTCCCTGGGGACGCGGACTTGCTCTTTGCCTTGAAGTTGGCCTGGTGTCAGTGAAGATGTGCAGGGGCCACGATACCTTAGAGGACACGGCAACTATTGGTGACTCCATGGCTTGAAAAGCGACCGACACGAGCTGGGAGTGGCATGGAAGACCCTTCTCGCTGAAGCTGACGCCTCTTAGGAGGCAAGGAGAGGGGTGCCAGCCAGGTGGCTGGGAGCTTGCCTTCCGCCTCCACTGAAACCACATCCTCTTGGGGCCCAGCCCCAGGGGGGCGCTAAGATAAACCTGGTCGACCAGCCAGCGTGGAGGCCCTAAGAAAAGTCTTATGTTCTTGTGCTTCGTTGGAGGCCGTTGTGTCCCCACTACCTAGGCCAGGAGGCATTAAATACATTTGTTCACTGAATGACAGAGTATTAGAAGCCCCTCCCCCACCAGAACCAATGGAATTTACATACCAAGCCCAGCGACGGAAGGAGAGGGACGGAAGTGCTCTCTACCCAGTTTGGGGAAGAACTGGCCACCCAGGAAAATGAATTCTGACTCAACAACATCTTCACTTACTTTATATGAAAGAAGCACACTCACAGGTGGCTTGGAGGCCCGTGGGGCGGGGAAGGGACTGGGTGCTTCTAACCACCCTTCCCTGGAGTTCTTCGGGAGAAGAGACCCTGGGACGTGGGGGCTACCACGGAAGGCCGCGTGAGCATTAGCTCTGCACACCAATCATAAACGTAAGACCGCAGAACTTTCAAACCCCTGTCTAAGCAAATGCATTCATCAGAGCACTGGTAATGGGTTTGGGAAGCCGCCCTAGGAAGAGAATTACTGCAATTGGCCCTTGGGGCGTAGAGTTTTTCAGGGCTTCCCCGCTCCGGGTGCCCCTGGACGGCACGCCTGGTGGAACCCGGTGGCTCTTGGACTAGACCTGACAGTCGACCCCTCAAAGCAGCACCGTAGGTGCCCCGCGTTGGGCTCGCGGGCCCCTCCCGGGCCCAGGCACCGTGGTCACACTCTGTCCCCAGCTCCCGGGGGAGGCCCTGCGCAGCTGCCAGCCTGTGCCTAAAGGACACTGCCAGACGTCAGCTGCCTCTGTCTTGGGCTATTTTTGGCACGTTTCCTCCACGTTTCCCAGGTCTCCTGGGAATTTGAACATACGTTTCTTTAATTTCAGACTAGATTCCCTAGTGTGGACCAGACCGGGCACTTCCTGTGACCTGTCCTCCTCCGGACCCGCAGCGCTGCTTCCAGCCGTAAGGGCGCGGCCGCGTGCGCCCTGGCAAACGGCAGCCTTTTTGACCTTCTTTCCGAACCTAGACCAGCCGGACTGCTCCTGGTCGTGCGCGGCCAAGGACCGAAGGGGCTGGAGTGGCCAGATGGAGAGGCGCTGCGTCGCGGGGCAGCGCTCCGGTGGGGCACCGCCGTCTTGCTTTCCTAGACGCGGGAAAGCGTCGCTGCTCGGAATCTTCCCCTTCCGGCGAAGGCGGGAGGAGCGGGTGGGCAGAGCCCGACCTGAGGGTGGGGGTGCGGGGCCGAGCAACTGGAGCGGGGGAAGCGCGCGCCCGCTGACCTGGGGGTGCTGCCCTTTGCTAGGGGGCCGGAGCCAGGCTGGGTGGTACCGGTCCCCGCTGCGCGCTGGCTCGGGTCGCTCCCGGAGCTCGTTACGGGTGGTAAACGGGTACGCGGGCGGGGCAGTTCATTAGACAAGAAATGGATTTGTTGTTTATTATCTATAAACATTCCAGGCACAGCGACCAATCGTAAAACCGCGGAAGGGCCTATAAAGGAAAGCCGCCGCGCAGCGTCCACGTGGGCAGTGCGCGCTTAGCGATTGTTCCCGGCGCCCGAGCGCGCGTTCCAGAGGGCGGTGGGGGAGGCAGCCGTACAGCGGCCTGTTGGAAAACAACTTCCTAGACTGGAAGCACGATTTTTCCAAGTTGAATGGGGTTGGAGAAAAATTGGGGTGAGCTAGAAGGGGACGACGAGAAAGAGGGAGAAACCGGAGTGGCAGATCGTCGTGGGTCATGACTGAGGCTGGCACAAGCAATAAAAGCTATTGATTAGGTGGGGACAGCAATTCAGTCTTTGGTCTTGGTGAGGTGCTTGGTCATCAACCATGAAAGTAGCCTAATATTGTTTTTTGGAGGGAGAGCAACTTTAAAACTGGCATCTCAGAAGTTCACGTTTGAGTGTGGCTGAGATGGTTTTTAAATTCTCATTGAGCCTGAAACATTTTCTAATAGAAGTTGGTCTCAAACAATTAAATACTGTTTTAAAGTATAAAGTCTGGTGGTGGTGTTTTTTTTCCCTCCAACAAATAGCTATTTTGTTTCCTTAGGTATTTCTTAAAACAAACTCTAAGCTCTCTCTGTTTACAATATATTATATTTTAAAAGAGTAGAAACAATGGTCCAAATTTACACTGGTTTTCTAACAACTAATGCAAGTATATTGTTGTCAATTTGATTCAGAACCTGTTACCTAGAAATCAAGTTATTGGTGAATATACTGGCTTGGAAAATTTTCAGGAATACGTTTTAGAAGACAGTGCCATACACATAGGGGGTTCCCTATTTCTCAGATTTTTTTAAACTTCTTCACTGAAGTATAACAATCTGAAAAGGGATGCTTCATAAGTAATTTAAAATAATACATCTTATATAATTACCTAAATCAAGATAGAGGACCACCAGCACCCCAGAAGTCCCTTCATTAAAAAAAATCGATTTATTAGATTTTTGTTTTGGGATAAGTTATTTTTAAACAGTTGTTCATCAAATGCGCAAATTTCTTTTCAATGCTGTGGAGTATTTTTTACTGACGATTATCTTATGGAAAAAAAAATTTTTTTGAGCTTTCCTATTTCGTGGTGGGAACAGAAAGGGGCTCCAATCCATTTCCCCCCCGCCCCCCTGCCCTCTGGAAACATGCACCTCGTCCCCCAGCTTCCTTCTTCCATACTGAGAGACAAAACAAACAAACCGTTACATGTTGAAAAACACATCTGAAAACAGAAAGGTCACATTACTACCGAGTCCTGGGGAACATTAATCTGGTGTTTGGAAAACAGTTGACAGTTGAAGGTTGGAGTTTCTCTCTTTTCTTTTCTTGGACGAAAATAGAGAGACGAGAGAGAGAGATCTCACTTGAATGAAAATAAAAGGGAAAAAGATCACTACTCTGTGGCCTCCTCAGAAATAAATGCTTTGGGGTCTACCAACATTCTAACTCAGAATTTAAAAACAGAAAGAAGAAAAGTACAGGGACAAAGAAAGGCTCTGAAATGGCTCAAGTTCGCCTTTCCTCAAAATACAGTGTGTGTGTGTGTGTGTGTGTGTGCGTGCGTGCGCGCGCGCGCGCGCGTGTGTGTGTATTCCTAAAATAATTAATGTGAAGAGTGAGAAATAGTCACGACAATGTCAAGCCCTGAACGCCTTGGAGGGTGGGGGCGGGGGGGGGTCTCCGGGATAAAAACCAGTCCCTCGCCTACTAGCGAAGGAGAAGGTGAGGGTTGATTGCCTGACCGCGGGCCTCCCAGCCCGCGACGCCCTGGGCCTCCGCCTGGGCGCTGAACTGCCTTCCTGGCCTGGGTGGGTGCCAGGGACCCACCGCCCAAGGGCCCAAGAGCTGGTCGGTGAACTAGGGTGTAGCAGCCTGATCTGTGTGCAATCGCCTGAGATTCCTCTTCTCTGAAATTTTAAGGCTTAAAATAAGGAAAGCTCTGAAGTGCGTTCCTGGGACGATGGAAATACTGCGTTGAAACTTACTGATAAATTGTAACGACGGCGAACAGTGCACCCTTCCTCCCACGCGCGGTTAGAGCCTGGTTTCTCTAAAACCGACTGCATTTGAGCAGCGGGATGGGGGAGCCGGCCAGGCGGTGAGGGCGGGAATCCAGAGCCTCAGGATCGAGCAGCACTTGGACTAGAGAGAAAGTCGCGTTAACTTTGCGGGGCTCGGCTTCCCCGTGCACAGACTGAGACCCGAGGATGCGCGCTTGCGTTGCCGGACCACCATCAGGCCGCGGCGAGCAGACACGCTCGGTTGCTGAACCCTCTCCCCCAGTCCCCGCTGCGTGTCTGTGAAAGTGCAACGCGTATTTGGAGCCACCGAGACTCGGATGGCAAGGTTCGGGGTCAGTGCTCCGGGTGGGCAAGTTTCGCGCCGCGCCCCCGGGCGTTAACCTGCCCAGGGCCCCGCGTGGCCAGGGCGACCGGCGCGCGCGGCACCCGCCGACGCAGCGGGCTGACAGTGATTTATGCGCTGGTGACACAGGTCGGCCGTAAACCTGGATGGCTGCAGCGGGTTTGGGAGCCGCGGCGGAGTCACCGCAGGACCGCTCAGCCGCGAGGGCGCGCTCCTGCCTGCGCGCCGTGCCCGGCCTCCCGGCCCGGCCTCTCCCCGAGCGCGGGCAGGTCCGCTCTCCCGGAGCCGCCGGGTCCCCCTGCAAAGCCCTCGGTTAACCGAAAGCACGTCCACTCCGGGCCGCGCCTTACCCGCGCGCCCCCGGGGCTCCGCGCAGCGTCTGGCGGGACCTGGGCGCGCGGCCCGCAGAGCTCGGGGGCAGGCGGCGGGGGAGCTGCCCGGAGTTCCCGGGGCGCGGGGCGTGGGGGCTCGCCTTCTGCCCGGGCAGGAATCGCCCGCGCCATTTGAGTCTTGACCTCCCAGAGCCCGGCAGCCCTGCGGCCGCGGCCCCAGCGCCGGGCACGCGCCCACGCCGCGCCCCTCGGAAGGAGCCAGACGGTCTCATCCGGCTCCAAGCCCACGCTTTCCAGCGCCCGGGCCCTGCGCGCCCCTGCCGCCCCTGCCGCCCGGCCGGCTGCCCGGCGCCACGCAGGGGGTGAGCACCGCCGCCCGGAGGGCCCCGGGAGCGGCGCGGGCTCCGCGGGCGGCTGCATGCGGGCCCGACCCTGCGGGTCCCCCCGGAGCGCCCCTCGGCCCGGCGGTTCCTGAATTCGCTGTGTCGCCGCCTCCCAACACACGCGACGCGGAGCGGCTCCGGTCCCCGCGCTGCGGGACGGCACCCCCTGCGCCCGCGGCAGGGAGGCGGCCGCGCCCTGGCCGTGTACCGCCGGGCCTGCAGCTCTGCGACGAGGCCGAGCAGGTCGGGGTACGTGCCGCGCGCCCCATACCCCCGACCCGCCCCCGGGGTCCCGTCTCCAGCGGCGTCTCCACCGCGACCCGGCGCCGCAGCTGACGCCGACACTCCCGAAAAACCGCCGGGCTCTACGCCGCGGGGACCAATTCCCGGACCCCGGGGACCCGAACCCGCGTCCCCACCTGCCCGTCGTTGGCCCCGCGCCGCTGGGCCCCGGAGGGCGAGGACGTGCACGTGCGCCCCGGCCCCGGGCCTCCGAGGCCCCCGATGGCTGCGGTGCCATCACTTCAGATGCCGCAAAGACGCCCGGGCGCAGCGGGCGCCGACGGTGACAGCTCTCCACACTCAGGAATGTTACCCCAGCTGCGCGGAAGGTTTTCCGTGCTTTTTATTCCGTTGGGACGCTCCGGTGGAACACGCTTAGGACGCAGACAGAGACTGGGTATGGTTTGTCCTAGTCACGTGAAAGAAAAAAAAAAGAACTAAAAATGTTTCTAAAAGGACTTACAGAACATTTAAGATAACCACATACAAACGCCCACATGTTTTTTGGGAGCTGTTACAACTTCGAAATTACATTTCCAATGTAATAAAAATGTAGTTCTTTTAGTCGTTGGCACAGTTTTTCTAAATTGATGACATTTGGTTACAAAACTTTGCTGAAAAACAAAACAAACCAGTGCTCATCCATCAAATTCTTGCACCATGGCAGCAAGTAGCACATTTGACTTTAAAACATACACAGTTACAAAACATATACTACAGTTACTTTGAAACAAAATGTTTTTAACTGCCTGACACATACACAAAACACTGAAAACACGGTAAAATGTTAGAAATAATTCTAATACATTCGCCTCTATGAAATCAGAATTTATCCCCACAACTAACTTTTTGGGTTAAAACAATTTTTGCTTCTTAATTCCTAGATGTGGAAGGGAAGTAAATGAATATGTGCAAGATATCATTAAAAATCAAGGACAATGTTGTATAATCTTCCTTGTAAAACATAGTTTATATGCGCTGCGTATTTGACCATGTGAAACTGTCATGTATAAATTTCATGCTTTTATGAAACAAAGTTCACATATATACGATGCAAACCTTATTGTTTAGTTTAAGCACATATCATAAGCAGTTACCTTGATTTATGTTTGTGTTAAAAGCCTCTATCCCAAACGAGGGAGCTTTGTGTTTAAACAGCAAATCATCTCAAAATATAAAATCTGAAGAAATTAGCTACTTGCAAGTCTTTTGAAATTTTAGAGATGATATTTGCTGGGGTTTTTTCTCTAATTTCATAATTTACATGTGTGAGTGTTTAGGTCACTCTTTTCCTACATAAATGGTGCATATTAAGCAAGATAAATTAATTTTAAAACTTATTTGTTCTTTAATGTTAAAAATTTAGATTACTGTAAGGCAAGTAAACTAAATGTAGAGCTTTCTTTGTAGTCACAATGATAGAACAAATCAAAGTAGTACTACATTGCTGATGGTACTACATTTCTCAGCCTGAGAAAACCATCTACCTATCTTCTCTTGAATTTTAAAAAACGTACTTGGAATTCTTTGGCAGGTTCTACATATAATATGTGTCCTTAACAGCTTCTATGGTAAATGTCAATACTGAGTTTATAGAGCTAGCTTTATTCCAATTAAGGGGAGTTTCTGAACAACACCAGCATAACAGGAAAAAGACATCTTCCTCACAAATTCATACCACACATTTCCTATCCCCAATGCAACAGGAATAATCCTTTGATTCCATTAAAATGGTCACTAACCTTATAATGACAAAAGAGTGTTTTACTGGCTTACCTGAAGGAGTCTTGTCAATGTCAGAGGCGCTGAGATTGTGAGCGCTCCGTGCTGTCCATCGCAGTCCTGGACCCTGTACTCTTGCGTCTCTGAAGGCTGAAGTTACAACGTATGACCATTGCCTCCTGGGACTCTTACAAAAATGAGACAGATAGCTGGTTCAAATGAACTGCAGACCTTGACCTCGGGATAAAGCTGAGAAAAACAAATCATATCACATACACTGAAAAATAATTAAAATGGTTTTCTAGACATTGTCTTGTGGGTGTTATTTTGCGTGTACATAGAAATGTTCTACTCAATCGCATAGATATGCAGGAAATGATTGTACTTACAAAAATGTTATTTAAACCTTTTTTTCAGAGGGGCAAAAGTCACCTTAGAAAGCAGTTGCACGGCGACGTTCACTTTTCAGGTTTTGAAACTTGAATATTTTAATTCATAACATACCTCCTTTCTCATTCTAAAAAAAAATCAGGCCTCTTCAAAGCTGGCATTTAAAATTTTTCTGTTGTTTGGGAGGTTAGGCGTGTAAGGTTGCATTTCCTATTGATTCTGTCAAAGCAAAATCATTGTTTGCTTTGGATTTAATATTTTATTTGGATGGTGTGAATATTTGTTTAAAACTATGAACTCTAGGGAATTTTAGTTCTATGCAACATAAATGAGTTTTATATAATGGATACATGCTGTTTCAGCCAAGAAAAAAAAACAAGATTTGCACCTCAACAATGTATTACTAAAATGGGTCGGATATTGTCAATCTAAGGTGACCTTAGTTTGAAAACAAAAGATGAAGTTCTTTGAATGAATTGCTAGCATACTGTTGTGTATTACATGTATACATATTTTACTGATTTTAGAATGGAAAATAGTTCTCCTGAGAAAGCAATTTGAGGTGGATTAACTAATGATATTTTTCCAGTCCAAATTTTAAGGTACTAAAACATTGGCATATGTTTTCCTTTCTTAGAATATTTCCAAAAGAAAATCTCAAACATGAAAAGACATTAGAGGGATGGTCTATTTAAAAATTAGGACCATTGTTCTGCTTTTAAAATCACCGGTCTTTCTGCCAGGAGAAATATGTTTAACAGTCATTAATACTTTAGGCTCATTGAAGTAGAAGCATGGAATGTCATGTTGAAAAAAGAAAAAATATGCCTTCATACATAGGCATCCATACTCTTTTTTACAAAGACGGTTAAAAAGGCTTCATAATTTTTGGCTGCAGAAAAAGGGGATAACAAACATCACAGCCAAAGCAAGAGGAAAGCCAGTTGTGGTTTTTAGACAACAGAGAAGTATTTTCCAGGGTAGATTCAGTTTCATTTGGAGCCATTGAGTAAAGAGAAGTCGACCTTGGCTATCTAAATTAAATTATCTGGATTCTCTGTCCACACAGAGCGATGATAGCATCTCCTGTTCCTATGAGCTGTGTAGATGTATTTCTAACATGGGAATACAGACCCCCACTGTTTACTTTTGAAATAATTTGGAACTTTCATTTCAGGTAAGAAACACTTTTCACCAAAACCATACTGTAACTGTATTTCCAATTACGTGCACCATAGTAGCAGTCTTTAAATGGAGTACACGGCCAGTGGTCATCCATCATTCATTGAACAGCTCTTCCTTGGTCTTCTGATAAGGACCAGGCACTGTTGCAGACACACCGGTGAACAAACCAGACAAAATCCTTGTCCTTGGTGGACTTACTGCAGTTCTGTCTGGACAGTATGGCAATTGATTGTTAGGGGGGGCAGTAGAAGTCCTGGCTTCCAGGTTATCCACTAGGTGGCAAGGTGGGCAAATGGCCCACTTTATGTGGAGCAAAATTTGGTGCAAAGAATAGTGTAGTTCTATGAAAATTTCCACCCTATTTGGTTTAAAGAATCTCTTTTTTGAGCACTATAGTTAATAGCTAAGGGTCAGGGTACATCCCGTGTTCTGTACCACAAAGCCTTCTGTGCTAGGGGCTCATCACTTAAGAGAAGAAGAGAGCCGGCTGCCTTCCCCAGAGGCCTGGCTACTCGATCCTCGAGCTTATCTTCAAGGTGGTCCTTTTCCTCCCCATAGTTCTCTGTGCCCCGCCCCCCAGCCCCCAACTGTGTGTAGATATGTCTAAAGGTCTGACCCTCTGGCTTTGCACAGAGCCCCCCAAAGCCTTGGCTCAATTTTATTCAAATGTATATATATCAATTTAGATAAACACTGTGGTTTGCAAATTTGGGGAGTTATTGTCCAAAAACACTAACATCTTAGAAAAACATCCACACTGACCAGCAAGTACGTATGCCAATATACATACATGCACTCAGGCATATATTTTGTTTTCAGAAATCCCCTAAGTGAGACCTCACATTTACATTGAAGAAATAGAATTGCTTCACTTAATCAGATCTTTTCTTTGGGATAGAATTAAGATATTCCTAAATGAATCAGACCTTTATTCATCTTTAGATCACCCAAAGCAATAAAATAAAAAACCTTCCCTTCTTAGAAAAATAGTTCATACGGGATGTAGAAATACTTATAGACTTGTTTAAATGTAAAGTTGGGAAATTTTCTGTGCTTATTTAGCATATGAAGTCAGGATCTCTGTTTCCAGGTAAGGGTTTTTTAAAATCTAAAAGTGAGATGCTAGAAATAAATATTTCTCCACATGAAGACTCTCTCTTCAAGGAGCCTCTGTGTTCTTCTTCTAAGAATATAATTAGAACATTAACATGTTAGAATGTATAACTGAAAATTTTCTCCTTACTGTTTCACTCTGGCCATGGTAGTTCTCAATAGAATTGAAATGCATGGATCACAGTTTGACCATGAGGTTTGACAAAAGTTGCAAACTAGCAAAAGAACAATTATTTAATACATAGACTGGGAATGGAATGTGGGTACATTTTCTGGTAGATGTGGTAGAAATCTGGTAGATTTCTCAATACACAATCGGGCACCAATTTTATCCATTCTGCTCAACTGATTGCTAAGAATGATTATTTCATGCAGAAGTCATCTGTATAAAATTTATGCTCTTACTGTGGTCGAGACAAGGCTGTGCTGTGATATTACTAGTGAACAATCTGTTTTTTACTATGATTTTCATTGTGTAAAGATTTACCTGTATGAACAAAGAAGGGACAATTAAAAGTGGTTCGGGCATAAGAAGTCTCCTGAACTGAAGACGGCAACATTCTACCTGACAGCGGAGCAAGAAGGAGCCTCAAAGTCAAGCAGAGGGGGACTCGAGGCCTGTATGTTAGAAAAAAGGTGGAAGAACCTTAAGGAAAGTACGGTTCTAAGCAACAGAATGGATCGTAGTGGGAGCTTGTGGGGTCTCCTCTTGACCTCTGTACCACTAGAATTTTTATATCAATAATCTGATGGGACTTTTTTATTTTTCCCTCTCCTTTCCTTCCCTTTCTCGACCCTCCACGTTAATTCTGCTTTAGATTTCAAGGCTTGAGAATACAGCTTTTAGTGGTTTTTAGATAATTCCATTACAAAAATCTTTAATGAATTTATTATTGTGAAATTCTATTCTGGATTGCCATCACTGTAGGCTTTTCTTATAGACATTGTCATTGCTTAGGATTTCTCTTTTTTCATAAATGGTAGTGTGACATGCAGAGTAAAACTTTAAATATTTTAACAACCACAAAATCCTCAGCAAATCAAAGTTTTCATTTAAAGGTATTTACCACTCACAGTTTTCCATCTACAAACATATTTTCTTCATAACTGTAACTATTGTATGCATTCCAATTAGTGTTTTTTTTAACTTGATATTGTCTCATAAACAGTTCCCCCTATTCTTAACATGTTTTTATATTTTTCTAGGTTAATGGCTAAACTCCTTTGGATTTCTTCTCTAAGCACACTCTTTCCTAAGGTTCCCTATTTCAGTAAATGGCACCATCATCTCCCCAGCTTTAAAGTAAAAGATCTAGGAGACTTCCATCTCCTGTATTTTTACTGTCACCCCCGTTCCCAAACCTGGTGACCTCTCGTCTGAACGACCTCCCTCAAGAGCTGCTACCTGGTCTCCTTCCTTCCCTCCTTGCTCCAGCCTATTGTCCGCTGGTCACCCAGCAGTCAGGACGATTGCTTTAAAAACATGAATCACATCGTGCTCACTGCTCTTTCTAAATCCTTCTATGACATTCTGGGACACTGGATAGGATCCCAATTCCCAACCACCTACTGGGTCCTGCAAGATCTGCCTGCTTCTCTAAACCCGTCACCCTCTACGGGTCCGTCCACTCGCTCCTCCATTCATCCAGTCCTCAAACATTTCCTGACTTGGTCTCAGGTTTCAGTGACTCTGGTGCTGGGAACCGAGAAGTGAATAGAACACTGTCTTCCTGCATGAAGCTGACGTTCTGTGGCACATGGACCAGTCTTGTTTCTGCCTGACAGCTTGTGCGTTTGTGGCCTCCTCTGCCTTGCAGTGTTCTCAGGCACATCTTCTCAGGGATGGATCTATTTAGCTGGATACAAGTGTACATATGCAGATCCATCACACGGCCAGCATACCCAGGACTCGCAGCCCGACACCTCGAAATAAAGTCATGGCTATTTCCTCGGCGTATACATGTGAAAATTAAATAAGTTAAGGACTACAAAGCCCTCGGCAGAGTCAGTGTAAGAGAAGAGTAAGATGACTGTATTAGCTATAATTTTTGTTTTATTATCATTATTGTCGATTAAATGTTTCACGATCTTTCCAGAGAGTTCTGAGACTCGGTTCCTCAGAGTGTTGGCCAAACTATATGCATAAGCACCTCTGCAGAAATCCTAAGTCACAAGATATATTCCCAAAGTGCTGAAAGATGGCTTTCTTCTGGAGCCAGCGCTCTGCTGGGCTGTGTGGTACAAATATCCATGGCTTAATAGTGTGGCTTTTATCGTGTATACCAACTGGAAAATAATTTAGAGCTGGTTCTTGATTGGAAACAAATGTTGACCCTTTAGTGCATCACATTAAAAATGTTTTCTTTGCAAAGTGTTTAAATGTTTATTACTGGGTTTATCGCATTGTATTCGAGTCACAGGTAGAGGACCAGGCTTGGTAGCTGATGCCTGCCGTCTTGGAGTGCCGTCTGGTTTAGCGTCTCAGCGCCCTCCAGCGTGCCCTGCTTCAGACGATAAACTCTATCATCCCCCAGCTGCGAGGCAGGGGCCTGGCTGGAAGGCTGAGGCGCACGGGGGTGGTCCTGAGCTGAGTGGGGCCTGTTTGGGAAATTG